AAGTAAGCCTCGAAAACTTCAAATACTGATAAGGAGCGCAGGCCAGCGGGCCCTCCAGAGCACCGTACTAGAATGGTACCTAGTGCTCCCGGCAAGCACAGGTACGCCTGTACTGGTCATATAACCCACCACTGCAGTAAATTGTTCCTCCTGCCCTAGACTGTGTTAACTCAACATAAAAACAATATACCAAATGAATAGAACACAGCAGAAGCTTAATTTGGGGTTTTTGTTTTTTTTTTGCTTCTGCCTGGAATCATCAGTTAAAGAACTGCCATCAAGCACTCTTAAGACCAAATAAGCAACTCAATATGGGCTGAACTAGTTATAGTCTAATGGACTGGATCTACGGATACCCCCTTCAAATTATTTATTAATCTTTTCATTTTAATCTCCATGTTTTTAGATAGATAGGGCGATTTGCCCAAAGTCGCCACTATGTTTCCATGGCTGAGAGATGATTTGAAAATGTGTCCTCCATATCCAACCCACCTTGTCTCTATACCATGTGGGCTCCTTAGATTCTATGGTCAAAGAGAATTCAAGAACACCTTTAGAAAACTATGGCTTTGCAAGTAGGAAAATCTCAATTGGAAATAAATGGCTGGGAAAACAAGTATGCATTCTGTGTCTTAGATGTGAATCACATGCTGGATTATAAAATTCAACTGACAATTAAATTGTTACCTCAAAACTTACCCTCTTACTTTCCTGAAGATTGCATCATGTCGTTCTTTGTCATTTGCGGAGTCGTCATCTCGTCTAGTGCTTCGTGAAGGAATCCATTTCTGAGCGTTTTGCCCTGGGGTTTTCCCCAGGAACTCGCTTTAGAAATAGAATATTAAGTCATTAAAACCTACAGTATATTCCCATATAATCTGGAAACAATAGGCTCAATTTTAAATTTGTTTTCGGGACACTTAAGAAAGCCTGAAATTTTAGCACTATAACCTGAATTTTTAATACTATTTTGAACTCATTTTTGGAGCTTTGAACTCATTTGAAGAATTTTCTTACAGGAGCAGTTATAGCTAAAAATTCTCAACAGATGTAAAAGAGCCATACCATGTCAAGCGTAATGAAATCAAAAATAATTAAGAAGGAATTAAAGCAACTAAAACATTGAAACTTGGAGCATTCCATTTATGGAATGACCACTTCATGTGTTATGGTGTTCTGTCATTTTGTTCTAAATTTGAAACAAAATGGAATAGTTAAAATTGTCCTTAAGTATTCAAATATTCCACAATTTGCATTTCTAATCCTCCAAATTATGAGGAATTTGGGTCTAGTGATTCCATTTCTGCTTTCATTGGTTGGATCAAGTCAAACAGGCTGGGGATGATAGTTAATTACGTGTTCAAAGATCTGTGGATTTCTACTTTGTAGAAAACAGAGGTAGACTTCAGAATTGATTAATCTACATTAAGAACTGAATTTCAGATACTCTTGCCTGTATAAGCAATATTCCACCTCTTTCACTAAGCAGTGTTCCATTTGCTTTCTTATGCCTAAAGATAAATGCCAGGATAAATTTGACTCAAAAGAAGGCAGAGCAAACTGAAAGCAGGCATCATCTCTACCTGCAGTCATTCTACTAATGCTATTGATATATGCTAGACAAGGAGGGTAACTGTCAGTCCTCCAAAGGTAAAGATATTTTCTCATTATTGTGGGGGCTCAGAAGGAAGACTCTAGGCCCATGATGGCGAACCTATGGCACATGTGCTGGAAGTGGCATGCAGAGCCATCTCTCCAGGTACACCAGTTGGTGTTGGTGCGCATGGGACCATGGGAAGAGCAGCTCCACAGCGTGCATATGCATGCCGGGAAGCTGAGGTTCCAGTTTCCAGCACGCATGCTGGTCTTTGAGCGCGCATAAGCACTAGAAACCAGAAGACGAGCATGCATCCTGGAAACTGGAAGCTCAGCTTCCCGGCGCATGCATGCGCACCAGGGAGCTGCTCTTTTGGTTTCTGGTGCTCCCCTGAGCGTGTGCTCCTGTTTTGGCACTTGGTGCCGAAAAGGTTAACCAACACTGCTCTAGGCACAGTCAAGTAGCGTACTGGAATATTTAGCATGCACATTATTTCTAGCAGTACCAGCTAAGAGCTTAATTCTAGCACTAGGTTTTTCTTGGCACACTGTGAGGGGGAGAGGAAATTACAGGCCTGTAAAGCATAAGGAAGACACTTGCTGACTTACTTCAAGTACAAAATGCAACAGTCAATACTGCTTTAGTGGCAGATGTTTGGATGACCAGAGTGCAGGACTAGACAACATATGTCATATGTCCTCCAGTCAAAATTTCATGTGAAGCTCTTTAGCATAGGTAACATCCTATAATCTATGTCAAATGTTGATTTGCTAGAACAACTGATCTTCCTCAAGGCTAACTTGCTTCTGCTTAATTTTTTTTGATCTGCCTAAATTCTTTCCTAACTCTATTGTCAACCAGCAGTTGTCCCAACATTCAGTGTTATCTGATTGGCTGGAGAGGATGCTCTGATTCTCAGACTATGTATGTCTGCATCAGAAATTACATTAGACAATGACTGCTGCATTCTTGGAGTTTAAGATGGTAAATAGGATTCAGAATGGATTATCAGCCATTTAGGCTTGCAGTCCTAAAACAGAAATAAGGAAACTGTTTTGAATTCCAAATGTTCCCTTATTGTGGAATATTCAAAATGCTTTGGATTTCATGCTATCCCCCCATTAGAGGTAAAGAAGTACCAGACAAAAACATTAAAAGTATTAAGACATGGAAGTAGTTAACAGAACAAAACACTGATTGGGTTTCATACAGACTTTCAATTTACATTTACTTACAATGAATTTAACTTTGCAAATTAAACAATGCATCACAAATCCATATAATAGCCAATATAGCATTGCAGTTAGTATGCAATTTACCTGTTGCCGGCAGTCTTGGGATAGTGCTGAAGCGCACCCCTACCTCCTCCTCCGCCTGAAGAAGCACTATGAATAAAGAATAATTGCTAAAGAATTTTTGTTTTGCGTGTAGGAAACCAAAATTTTGAAGTTTAACCAGAACAATTTTATAAATAACTTGATTTGTGAACACAAACTTCCTTGGATAATTACTTTTTTTCCTTCTGCACAGTTAGTATTTTCTGGTGACCTGATCTGAATCAACTAATATCTTTTATATGAAGCTAAAATCAGATGAAGTATTATCCTATTCTTAAAGTCTCTATAAAACCAACAAATACACAGAAGATACTTATTTGTTGCCTTTTAATATATGGTCTGCAAAACTTAGAAACCGTGTTAGTGGAATATAGTTGGTAACTCATGCATTTAATTTCATTAGTTGTGACTAAGAAACCTTAAAAGGCTAAGAAATGTTTCTTCAGACAAAAATGCTGTGTGTTCCCATCTGTTTCATTGTCATAAAGCTTTACTTACCTGAAACGAGAAGCACCCCCTTCTGCAATCGCACTCTCCACTTTGGCGGCTTGGCAATGAAGAATCTTCCAAAGAATAATAAATTGACAGGATAGGGAAAAACAAAACCTAGAAGGCAAGAGTTAACAATGTAAGTTTTTGATTAAGGTTTCAATAATAGCACTCCCCCTAGATTGAAACAAAAATAGTTTCCCAAAGATGTTGGTATTCAGTCTAAATAATTATCATTTCCTAGCATCTTATAGTTTGCCAGTCAGGAATTTCTGAGAATTTTACTTGGCATCAGAGCCCAAGTTTTTCCCTCATCTCAAGTCAACCTTTTCTCCTGCTGATTCCTCATACATATATATCCATGAAAGTATTAAACATTATATAATTTTAAATATTTCACAACGAGGTGTATAAGCAAAATCTAAGCAGTCTTAACAAACACCCACCATGTAATATTTTACTACCCAACATGACATGTGCTTATAAACCTGATACACATATAAATTGACAAATTCAACCCAATACAGGTAACTTTCAATACCCTAATGTATATCTATATCTTTGTATGTATCTATATTTCAGGATTTCTGACATCGAAGAAAGCAGAAGCAACACACAAACACATTTTCCCAGGAAAGATCCCTATTTGTGTCTCAACTTAAATTGCTGGCCTTTTTTTACTTTAATTAGACTTCGAAGTAAACCAAAACACAAAGGCGTCCAATCCCACCGAGGGCCGCCTGATCTGTAACCTCCACGGTTATTATTCCCGCCACAGACCTAGCCTTAAAAATACGCCTGCAAGGCGGGAGAGAAATGGCTTGGCGAAGCCCAACTAAAGACCTAGAACACCCCTCCGTTTAATCTCGCCGATCCTCGGAACAAGCCGTAGCCAGCTTCAAGCATCCTGTCCAGGTTCAAGCATCCTGTCCTCGATCCCTCCCTAGCAGGCGCTGGGCACCGCCCGACTCCAGGCTCAGGCGCAACCCCGGCAATAGGCCCGGCCTTTGTTCTCGGTTCACAGCCCCATCCGCAGTTGCCGGCTATTCAGTCCCAACAACGGAGATGGGGCATAGTTTCCGGAGCGAGGGGACCGAAATTGATTGAACTATTCCACTGAGAGACTAAACACTGTTCTTTCTATCTTTCCTATGGAATAATAGGAACCACGGGCGAAAAATAGCATATGCTCTATTCGCGTAGAGGGCTAAAAGGCAGCCGGGTATCGCGACACTGGACTTGATTGTGCCCCCGTCACGACCTTCACTCAAAGTCAGCCGCCTCTTTCTCCCCTCAGACACCGGCTAAGTGAAGACCGGTGCCGGCCGCCATTTTGTTATCGGCAAACGTGCAAGACCGAGATTGCAAACGAACAAGATGGCGTCGGTTTTAGGTAGCCGCCATTTTGCATACCAGCAGCCGATTCTTCCTTAGCCGCCTTCGCTCGCCCCCCGCCTCAAATACTCCCAAGTCCAAGCAGTACCAGCCCCGTCGATTTCCCACCCCGATCATCATCTTTGCCAACGACGGTCATTTCCTCACCTTCCCTACAGCCTCGTCAGCGTCCCCAAGACCGGCGGCGAGGGCTGGGAAGAGGCGAGAGAAGGGAGGGGGAGAGGGAGCCGGGGATCGGGGCTGGGAGAGGGAAGGGGGAGAGAACGAACGGCAGGACGGATCTCTGAATCACCACAGCAGCTACCAAGCACTTCTTTCCGTCACCTCCATAGAGATCGGACCAACTCTCCGCCGCTTCTAATGCGTACTGAGACAGCCCACTAACTTTATTACACAGCGTGCAGCTAAACCCTCCTCAACAAGCCGGCTTCCAATCGCCGGCTGAGACTTTGTCGGGGTAGCCAATCACAACGAATAAAGGAGGTGGGTCCAGGGCAAAGGAGGGGGAGGAAGAGAGGTTGGTTGACGGGAAGCAGCGCCGCAGTGCAGCATCGGATTCACAAAGACTAGCATCTCCTTTCTTCTGCGTACAAAACCAACTCGAGTAGCAGATTGCGCAAATGGCGTACCGGGTTAATTGGGACAGGCTTTACGCCGCTTTTTTCCCCCCAGCGCCGTATCGCCTCCAGTGACAGAAGCTGGAAGGAAGCTCTCATTGAATTTCAGATGCGGCTGTTCTTTGGGTCGGTTTCAATAGCGTGCCCCTTTTGCAATGGCATACAGATGCCGCCCCCCCCCCCAGTTCCCGGCGAAACTATTTGGTGGGCTTTGTCTTGATAAAAATGATATATGGTTAGAAGCAGCAGATTGCATGTAGACGAAGCTCTAGTTTAGAAGAGGTACCCGAAAAATCAGGACGCCGATTCCAAGAAGGGATGAACAGGGCTGGGCATTGTTAAGGAAGTGCCGTGATGAAAACCGTTCCGATATGAAAACGGTTACTGAACACGTTTCCTCTCCTCCCCTCTGTTCCTCGTCTGCTCCAAATCCATTTTTATCAGGCTGAAGAACAATGTTCTAGAAAAACGGCTCAAGGGTTTTACCTCTTGGCTCTGACCGCAAGTGAACTGAATAATGCATGATCTTTTAGAATAATTTCAGCAAGACTCAGCACATCTATCTGGGCTCACAATCAAAGTGCTGAAAATCCTACAGGGCATAATGTTGCTTGCTACATATCCATCTTTTACATGATGTAACCATTTGCTCGGAAAACACATCTCACACTGAGGTTTTGAACACATTTTGAATGCTTAAACCAAAGTATCTGGTTTTCTGTATCAAATAAGTAAATACTTCATGATTTCCTGATTGAAAAAAAATCATTTTACTTAAACACTTCTTTTTAACTTCCAAGAATGATGGTATCCAGCTCATACCACTAACAGCAATTTCACAACCATTCATTCCAAAGCATACTTGTGCAATAGTTAATGACTTCCCACCTCACATGACTCCAGAAGACATTTAACACATAAATCTTATGAAACTATGTGCTTGTCACAATCTGATATAAATTTTGAAAAACAAAACAATGTATTGTTACATTGTATTACTATGACCAGGCAAGATATGTAACCTTTCATGGTTAGTGCCTCTTGGCTAATAATCATATCTTACTGTGTAGGATCTGAAGAAGAAAAAAGGAAACTAGCAAAGGAGATACAACTGGAAAGACTGCAGTTAGCTAGCAATAAAAACATGGAAGGACTCTCACTACACATATTGTAGTTTGCTTCTAGAGAATCTAATCCTCCTCCATTGGATATTTCCCTATATCCCTGCACTCAGTTGATACGGCAGAACTATCATGGCCTTCCAATTCTATTTCTTTACAATAAAATATAGGCTACATCTAAAGTGTCCTGTCACTTGAGGAATGGACATACTGAATACAATATTTTAAATTCTCTTATCTAACTACCTTCATATTTCTTTAGAGAAAAGACCTCCCATTTTTTAAGATGATACTGTACACACATATAGAGAGGGTACAGTTTATCATGTCATAATCTGAACCATCCTCTAATTATTTATTTTGAATTTCAGGGTACCTACTAAATCGAGATACCATTTTGTTAAATTCTGGATCACTAGAAATAGTTTTACATATGACTCAGCACTGGTGAGTGAACACCCACACATTTTCTTTTATACAATCTAACTTTATTTGCTTGCTTTACCATATTCAACCTCATTTCATATAAATATACAGTACATTAAAAACTATGCATGTGAAATACTTATCTTAAAATCATTAAAAACTAGGACCTAGCCACATCATTTTGATTCCAGACAAGGCTTTAAATGTGACACAAATACTGACTTGTGGCCTTGATTCTATGGCTTAATAAAAAAAAATGGAGGATCTGAAGTGCTGGCTCTGAGTAGATTGATAAAGCTATACTGAGGCAATCAGAACTGTCAATGTTCATTAGCAGGATTCTGCAGAGTGGACAATACTGACTCCCAAAGATCAAAGGAACTATCCAAAAGGTCAGTGTTGTTGTTATTACTATTCATAGTACTATTCATTAAAGTCAAATTTATTAAATTATTTTCATATAATAAATTTTGGGAATCAATGGACAATCTAAAACTTCAAGAAGAGATTGACAAGGTGAAGAGTTTGGGGACCCCTTTTCTATTGTATGTATTTGACTGGCCTTCCAGTTATGAAATGTAAAATGAGTTTTATTATGGCATACTTGCCAAAATGCTGCTACCTGGACTAAGTTGTTTATGAGACACTGAGGGAACTGCTTTTCACTTCTCTGTTATCAAAGGGAACAGTTCCTCTTCCCTATTCAGTAAAAAACAAGAAGGCAAAGTTTAAAATAAGTATCTTTAAGTGAAATGGTGGTTCAGGTAATGACAATAAATGTCTAGCATTATTTGTTTTACATAATCTTTGTCAAAAAAAATGTGTGTTCGCTTCAACATATTTGCAAATCTACATTTTCAAGGACAAGTTCCATGTTAATTTTACGTAAGTATTATCTTGAAACTAATTCTGTACAATTGTAACTCTAAAACTAAGGGACACATTTTAAAATTCCTAATGGTGGTCATCATGTTATAGAAAGAACATTACAGCTCCAACACAGCAAACAATAATGGTTTATCATTGCATACACTATATAGAAATGAAAAATTTAACTTTAATTGTTACAAAACCTAAATATACAATAGTTCTGTGAGACATTAAAAATATTCCAAAAAAAAAAAAAAAAAAAAAAAAAAAAAAAAAGAGAAAAGGAACAGAAGTACGATAGGGCTGGCATATCCTCAGTTAGTAAACAGTATCAATATCAGGGGACAAATGGTTTTGTATGGAACTCATCTTTGAAACACATAAAAACCCAACATGACTTCATAGTACAAGTAATGCTATAATCCCACATACTTATTTGGGAGTAGGTACCATTGCACTCAGAGGGGCTTCTTATTTAATAAATAATAAGCTCAGGCTTTCACTGAGCACTACATATGGGGGTAAAATAATAAAGATATGATTTTAAAAACCTATTTATGAAAATGATAGTGTTCAATGGTACTATGCAAGATAAAACCTCATGAGCCAAATCTGTTCATCTGTCCTATAAACCAACCACTATTGATCTTTGAACTAGAAATAGCTATATTAGGTAAAGATGAGCTGA